TGCGCAGATCACAACCTGTTTCTGGCTAGTACTAGTTACCGGCACAGTCATCATCAGTGTGCTGCCAGACGTCCTTTCTCTTCATCCCAAGGCAGCCTGCTTGAACATTTAGGTTATCTGTTTCCTGTCATCTGGATATTTCAACAAGTTATCTGTTTTCTTGTTTATTTTAACACATCATTATGCCTATTAGTCGCATAACCGATTCAGGTGCGTTTGTGAAAAGTTAACGACATTTCATTGTATAAGTTATCAAGGAGCCCAATCAGAGAGATTGTAGTTGCTGGTATTATGCATTGAAAATAATATACATTAATCAGATGTTGGTTCCTGAACTGTTAACATCTAACTAGAGACCACTTAATATTTATTGCAAGGGTCTATTGAGAGATAAGAAAAGGAGAATTGTTGAAATACTTTGTGCTGAGGATTCTATATTGTACCAAAAATAAATTATTGGATAAAGACACTAATGATAATAGATTCAGAACATCGTGATCAGCTACCGCTGGCGTGATTGTGTACAAGACTGCCGCTCCTTTTGAAGTACCGATCTGGACTCCGATCATGTCCTTGTTTAGGCTAATCTTACCTTACATTTCAGTGGCCAACAAATTCGTCGTCTTAAATGGATCGATGTCAGCAAATTGGTCGCAGCTTCTGTTGCAACCAAATATCAAACCGAGCTAGGTTCAAGGCTAGCTAACAGGCCACCGAAAAGTATAGATGAGCATAGGTTACAACTGCATGACGCCATGAAAATAGCAAGTAAACTTGCTTGCGGTTTCGCGAAACCTCCAGCTTATAAGCGCTGGGTTTCTTCAGGATCCTTACAACTTATTGAAGCACGTCAGTCTACTCTGAGTGACCGCGAGTTTGACCACCAACGGGAACTGTTATGTAATGAAGTTGTGCAAAGCTTGCGTAAGGACCGAGAAGCTGGGTGGTAGGAACGTGCCAACGAGTTGAAAGCAACGGCTGTCTGGCAAATTTCTGAAGCTCTTTCAACTCATCTGAGTCACTGGCAGCAAGAAGTCTGGTGTGAGTGACACAATCTGCGATGACGGAATGCCAATCACTAACGTCTACAAACGTAATGGATGATGGGTAGAGTTTTTCCAAGAGCAGTTCAACTGGTTTGCTGCTTCGGCAATATCGATCAGATCGTCCTGCCCCCGTGGTCTGTGACGACTGATCTATCTGACGAGGCGGAATTACGCAAGCAGCTCAAACTCTTGAGGCACTACAAATCACCAGGCGCAGACGACTTACCTCCGGCAGTTTTTAAAGATGGTGGTGACTTTCTGGTTATGGATCTGAGCTATTTACAAAGGTCTAGCAATTAGAGAGTGCTCCAACATCGTGGAATGGGTCAATGGTTGTTCATGTCTGTTGAAAGGATTCACATTGTTTCTGCAACAACTATCGGTAGATAAGTCTAGTTCCGATTGCGTCCAAACTATTTGCTTCCGTCATACTTCGTACACTGTTCAAAACCTGGGAAAGGTTGACTCATGAGTAGTAGGCTGGTTTTCGTTCTGGTCGAGGATGTGTTGACCATATCTCCACCCTCGGCCAAATGTTAGAACACTGTCATACTTATCACACGCCAAAAAATCGTAGTGTTTTTTGACATTAGGGCCGGCTTCGGCTTGCTGGACTGTTCTCTAAGATTGTCTATTGAGGAAGGGTGTGCCTGAGAAGTTTATTAACACACTGAAAGTCCTATATACCAACACCTCAGAGGAGTGAGGGGATACAACCTCCTCTCTCCCTTGTTTTATTCAAGCAGTGGAGTTGGTCAGAGTTGCCTAATCTCACGACCTCTGTCAAAATTTCACATCGATGAGGTTCTGGGAACAGCTCTGACGAATGTAGGTAATGGTGGTGGTCTGGAGAAGGGCTTTCTGACCTTAAGAATGCGGATGATAGTGTTGCTGTGCTATGATACCCAAGCCATGCAATCCGCACTTAATCAGTTGAAAATCGGTGTCCATAGGTATGTTGTGTACTTTACACCTTCCAAGTGCAGAGTACTTTAATAGGACTGGTAGGACCCTAACACCACAAACACCCCGGGTAGTGAGCGGATAGAAGTAGTTGAGGAGTTCGTGTACCTGAGTAGCTGTGTAAGTGCTGGTGGTGGCGTGAGTGACGAGATCAATTCACGTTAAGTGAAAGCCAGAGCGGCATATGCCGATCGAGGCCACCTTTAGAGTATTCGTGATGTTAGTCTGACTGTAAAGGGTCGGATAAACAATGCGTTTGTGAGAGCAGTTTCGCTGTTTGTGAGATCTGACCTCCCCGGGTTGAAACTTTTAGACGACTCTATGTATTTGATCATCCTAAGGATTAATTATATCAAGTGGCAACACCATGTTAATAATGTAGAAGTCCGGTGTCGTGTGTTCGGGAACAGTGACGATAATTCAATTAGTGTCACTGTCTTTAAACATAGACTACGAATCTTATCTCAGAGAATCCCACGATGTGCATTATTTGCCGAGGCTGAGACCGGTTGAATAAAGTGGAGATGGTCAGTGTGTGACATGGTGTCGTGATATGAAAGAAAACTGTACAGGACTGGCTTCGGTCCGTCGTTCGACTAACGGATTAGGGTCCAGGTGGTGCAGCACAATGGCTTTAGACGTTATCGGATACGGCTCAAAATGGAAGCCAGTGGCGATTCTGCTATAATTTTTTTCATATAAATGAATGTAACTTCTTTGATTGAAAGTAATCTTTCTGTTTATATGTTTGCTAACTGAACTGTTTCTCTTATTATTGTTACCTCACTCTTGTACAATAATTTATGTTCTTCTTTTATTATACGCACTTTACACTCTCTATCTCTTCACAACCTCATTGTTATTGCGTGGCTCAAATGTATTTGGTGCCCACTTGTACCGTTTTTTATGTATTCAAATAAATAAAGGTATATGAGTCAAAGCATAATACAGTGTTTCCAACATAGGACTGATGCAATTCGAATAGTAACTCCAACTAATTGAAAAAAACTTATATCGTAGTCTTATCTAGTGATTAGTTTCACAACTAAAATATTTTTGATTTAGATTTCTAGGTGATATTATTTCCAGTTTATAGTTCGCAGTTTTTATCTCGTGGCTGTGAAAGGTGATCTCTGGAAGTAGAAGACAAACGGAGGTCATTAGTATTTGAAATTTTTAGAAAACTCGTGTGCGGAGGAACAAGTGAGTGGTTAACACTGAGGTTAGATATAGGATAATAAAAAGATATGGCAGATCGGTTGATAAGGTTATGGAATTCGATCGACTCAGGTGCCTGGAAGGTGGTACGCATGCTTAATCACCACTTATTTCGACTTCCAGTGTTGGATGGAGTAGATTGGAAGAGAGCCAAAACCGGTCAAACAAAGATATACTATTAGCCCACTGATTGTAAATCTTGGCCATGTTGATAGATGTAGACCAACCACTTGAAGTCCACAGGGTACTTTTGTACAATGGTTGAAGAACTAAGGTGATATATTTGAACATCAGTCAAAGTGGCACAGATGCACTCGTCACCCTTGAGTTCCAGTATTAGTTCATACTTACTAATCCTTTATTTAATTTCTCCTTAAATCATATTCTCTGTTTAGTCTATTACATTATTACTAGTACTACAATTATCCCGAACCTTTTATTTATTTTATGAATTTCATCGCGTTACGTTTACGTAGTATGGTAAAGTGGGTCGATATAACTATGTTGATTATGCACAGATTATATAAAGGATTATCGATTACCCCTCAAAAAAAAGCAAGAACGACATTTTATGATAATTAGAAGTAATGTAAGAAAAATCACAAATCAAATAGAAGCATTTCCTTTATACTGCACGGAAAAATCAGTTGTTATTCCTGAATAGTTTTAGATTCATTAACTAGAATATTTGCAGAATAGAGAATGTACACACGCGAACACAAAGACATCTGTATGTTCACGGATATACACAATAGGGTTCCGGGAAAATATGGATGGAAAAAAGATACATATCACGAAATGGTTAAGGTTCTTTTTTTACTTCAGCTGAAGGGGGGGTTAGTTTTCAAATATTTTCTGTCTCCGTAAACAGGAATGTAAGTGGTACATATTTGTACGCATTGATGTAAAAAAAACCAACGAAATAAAGAAACAGATCAACATAAAACATACTCGATTAGACAATCAATTCAACAGAGAAAAGAACTAAGATATCATAATATAAGGAATCATAAAAATTTGTGGAAGTAAAGGAATCTGTTCTACCTAGATTTGCTCAAAGCTTGTGTATACACGAATACGTATATGCTATATAACTCATATATATATATTAGAAAATGGTGCACTCATATCAATGTTTGATTCTGAATGCGACATTTTCTATAATCGTAAGTCGGTAATTTCAAAGCATTCAAATGCACTTACCTAATGCACACATTGTAAACGAATAATTTTTAATATTCGAATAAAGGAGCATCAATGCATAACATGTAATTTTTTAAAAATAATATTACTATGAAAAATTACATTTGTGTTTGTATACAGTAACATTAAATGTGGAAATATCTGTTAGTCAGTTTCTTAATTGTTTGGGATAAAAGTAATTTATATTCAGTAGTACAATGTGCGAGTGTCACAGCAAAATCACAGTTAAAAGAGAGTAAATGAATATTTTGAGATTTGAACATAAAACACAGATACCACGCACATCCAAATTATAGAAAAGAAGAGAAATAAAATTGTAAAACAGACAAAAATGACTGTACAATGGAAAACCGGTAAGGGAAGATTTTGCAAAGAATCATATATATATATGGTATATCGTCAGATGCATATACATGAGTTAAAACAAAACCCAATGAATATATTTTTGATTGTGGACATGTTGATTCGCATCACAGAACGGCTATTTTTTGAGGCGAATAAGAAATAATGGAAAATTTTCAATGCATTAGCAAACCTATTACTGTTACCCTTTGTTTTTCGTCTTGGAATTTAACGCCAAACTCCGGGAGAAGCAGAAGCTACATTCATTATATCAGGCGATGTAAGACATGCGGTAGAACTAGTTGAATGATGTTCACCTAAACCACTGATCCATGTTAATTGGATAGGTTGTTGAGGATAAGCATACATTCCAGATTCGATATAATATGGATGATGAAAGTGAGTTGAATCGGTAAAAGTAGTTGAAATTGCTGTGGCTGGCATAGTATGTGTTTGGTTTACCGAGGGTAAGCAATGAACGCCTTGCATAAGGTGCGTTGGGTTGACACGAGAAATTTGAAGAGGTAGAGGACCTGGATTAGAATGAACATGAAATGGTCCGTGATATCCATATAAAAGAGGTGAGAGCGGTTCAGCAATTTGTGTTATCACACCATCATTAGATATAATTGGGATGGAGCGAGGCTGCGAAACCATAACAGAACCAGTGACTGCACTTCGCATGGGTTGTTGTTGAATCCGCATGAGTTCTAAATGTTCAGTTGTTCGATTGACCAAACTAACACCAGAGTGTCCAGAAACTCGTAAGTTATTCAAATGATTATGCACTAGATTAGATGTTGGATTATCGACAAAATTGGCCCAATGGTTAGGAGGGGGACAAACTAAAACTAAAATAGGATAGAAATAAAAAATATGAATACACCAAAGTAGATTCAAGTCTGCTTCACTCATAAGGAATAGAGACTGACCGGTGGTCGAGAATGGATTTAAGGTGTACTTATAAGTTTCATAAAAATATAAACGGATCGTTTATTCATAAGGGTTTGGTATTGTTCTGCTGTTGACACATGTGCATCTGAAGTGGATCATTTAGATATGGACTTTTTTACGATTATTTTTATATTTGAATGATACAAACCTCTACGAATACGCATCATACTCGTTGATGGACATAGTGGCTATTTGGATTCAATAACTGAGTGGATATGTTGACGTTCGGAAGGTTCGAGTCTCATAATCCAAAAATCTAAGCGGGTTTTAACAAAATACTATTCAGCCGCAAGGCATAAAACTGTAGTCTAATGGACAGATTTTACTTCTCAATGGGTGTGTAGCCAATTCAGGTAAATATAGTTCGGGTTTAATTATGTGATAATGATCATTGACTGATAGGATCCTAGAAGTGTAGCTCCCATTGGATAGTGTCCCAAATAGTTAAAACTGTAAACACATCCAGAGTGAATATTTTGTTCGCTATAAGTGTATGTATTGATGAGAAACGGTGACAACTAGTGGGACAAATATCCTAATACATAAATTAATCTTCTAATGTTTGAGATGAATTAATCATATATAATTGGCTCGGTTTTTATAGAAATACTATTTTACATGGAATGTACATTGGTTGTTTCGGTAAGGGAGGCAAAACTTATATTTACACAATACCGTAAGTTTGCATTAATTTTGATGCTTAAAGTGTTTCACAATTTCTACTACTACTTATATCACTAAGTTGGATGAAATAGAAGTGTGGCCGGACGCTTAGAACAACACTGAAATACAAGATTTAAGATTGGGGTCTAGGACAGTTAGAATAGAGATTAACGACTAAGGTGTGACATGGTTGAAAAGTGATTAACTGCAGTAATGATGAAATATATACTCCTTCCTCGAAACAAATTCACTCTTATTCATCACTGAGTAGTCACTGATATATCATGCTCCTGTCTAGTCTTTTATGTAAATTGAATCCCATTGATGCATGATGCAGGTTTGAATATTCTTTATAAGGAGGAAGAGATTTTTTCAAACATGGTAAATACAAGTTGTTGACAGAGGTAAACAGCATGAAACTAGGTATAAAGACTTTCTTTCAAGTACCTTCAGAATATATATATGAAAATGTCATTTTTTCTGAATTCTTGCATTTTTTTACCATTTCATAAGCTTTTAACACCTTTAGTCTTGCTATACTTTTTGAATTTACAATAGAACTGTATTCTTCTATTTAGTGTTTGGTTATAATGTGTTTTAATTATACATTTACATTTATTGGCAAATGCTTTCTCTAAAGGGATCTAATTTATTAATAATTCTATGCAATCCAATCAAGTTTCGCTTAAATATAATAAAGATTGTGTATCCATAGTGTTGGGTATTACAATCATGAATTACTTAACATAATTATAGTGAATAAAGTGAACAAAAAAGACTGACATTAGTTTAATGGTGGTATAGATGAACTAAGTTTTCTAGCATTTGTTGTTATTACTACTACTCAAGGGAAATAATTAGGGAATAAGATAATAAAATTTGATATCATACACCTTGAACCCAGTTGTAACTACTTACAGTCAAGAATTATCACTAATTAAATCTGAAAAAGTTTTCACATTCATTGTGTGAATAGATACAAATATACACATTTATTCCAAGTATGTTACGTTAGTGTGTGTAGAAGATTTGTAGTTCAGGTGGATGATTTTGATAGAGTTTTGTTCTCTGAGCTGGATGGTTTAGTCGTGGAACTTTCATCGTTCTTCTGAACGACATCATCAGCACAAACTTCAGGTAGAAGTGAAGTGTTCAAATTTCTCCACATATGGTTCACAGCTTATCCTGTATACCTCGATATTGATTGGTTCTTGTTGACCTTAGACCTGTCATTGTTTACTTTTTGTTTTGCTTATATCTCCCATTGGTTTGGTTTTTGTTCCTATGTTTGTGTATAATTGCCCTGATTAATTGGTAAATGTTGGGGTGATCCAGAAAATTGCTCGCAAAAGACAAGCAAGCATCAGGAAACACTAAGAAGCGTTTCGTTCAATCAGCGGTCACTTGGAGTCTTGGTCAGAAATCTAATACAATTTTGATAGATGCTGTTTATTTTAGTGATCTATTATCCACTAATGGAATTTTGAAGAGGTCTGATGAATATGTTTCACAAAAATCAAAACTTAATGACCTCATATCTAGTGTCGCTGATCCTCATCGTCTAGTCAGTTCTAGTGGACTGTCTACTCAATGCGGGAAATATGCTTTAAATAGAATCAGACTAACTGTTACTTGGGTATATGAGGACCCAACATTATTTCGCGGGGGAGGATGAACGCGGAGAATTCTAAAATCCGGATTTTCAAAAAAAGAGGTGTTGGTATATTCGGAAAAATATACCAATAATTATCATGTTAAGTCTAATGGTGTCCTTGGACTTTAAATTGACATTTCCTATTGGTCAATATTTACTTCACTAGTTAAATATTGTACAAATGTTGTTTTCTATTTTATGGTACGATGTGGTTTGTTTGGTTGGTATATAAATAGAGTATGTCTGAAATATAATGATTCATATCTCAGAGGCTGTGACTTGCGTTCTGGACTCAACTGGCTGGGCTAGACAGCGAAGCAGGACCAATCGGGACTCTAGGTCATTTGTGCATGTTTTACGTGTCATTGATCGATCGATAATTCGCTGCGCGTCTAGTCTGCAATCGACAAGACACAACAACTGGAAAGTGACTTCACAACGACTCTCATCAGCAATGTTTAGAATTCCGCCGGATGCACTATGTGCTAATTGATGAGTTGAATATACTTTCGGTCTCTGATACGTCGTGTAGGTTGAACGCTATATACGATTCCTAAGCTATTCCGATAACCCGCAGTCTAGAACTACACAGCGACTTGAACTCCAGAGAGAAGACACAAGAATGAGAGAAAGCACTTTATTCCAAGGTTCATTCTTGTACAGAAAATCATGGGTATTTATAGATTTTGGGATCTGTTAAATCAACATCATTTTACAGCCAATCCGATAACAACACATTATGCTACCGACCAATAGTAGCACGCCACGTTGGAATTCTAGAACGTTCCATCACACTCTGATTGGCCAGGACTCCTCGGCTCCTTGTGGGCCTCTGGGGGCTCCGTTGAAGTTCTCCGGAAGCCGACCCAACACCTCCCCCGAATAAGATTTCTTTCTGGGATCCACTTGTAGTTTGATAACTGGATTGCGACGGCGTCCCATTATTCTTGTCGTCTTTCTTGTCCAAGACTTCTTTTCAGTGTTCCTGGGCGTTTGTGGCATTGGTGCGTCTAAGATTAAATCTAACGGGAAAGTCGGCCGGTTACTTCGAGTCTGCACCGTTCTTTTGTCCTTAAGGATTTGATTTGTGTGACGTATACATGTCCCAAAAGCTCCTCGAACTTTGTACAGTACTCTTCCCAGTTTTTGCACCACTTCGCCCGGCTCCCATCGGTTCTTCCCGATGTAGGATTTAATGTAGACTTTGTCGCCAATACTGAAGTTCCGGATACTTGGATCGCGACTACGCTCATCCACTAGTTTGGATGGCAACATGGCATCGAAGACTGTTCGAATACGCCTTCCAAACATGGCTTCCGCGGGAGATTTGCCGTCTTGAACATTTGGGTTTGGGGTGGATCTGTATGATGTTAGAAATTTTGTGATCACCTGCTCAGTCGTCCCTTCTCCTCCCCCTTTCAGTAATGCTCGTTTAAAAGTGTCCACAAAGCGCTCTGCTTGTCCGTTTGATTGTGGATGATAGGGTGGAGAACGAAGATGATTTATTTCGTTTGTTCTACAGAAATGTTTAAACGATTCTGCGGAAAACTGAGAGCCGTTATCCGTCACTAAGGTCTCTGGCACTCCGAAACTGCTAAATAGGGTAGACAACTTGCGGATCGTTTCTGACGTTGTACAATTTGGCATGATGTATACTTCCGGCCATTTAGTGAATGCATCTACGATAATTAGAAACATTTTCCCTTGGATTGGACCGGCAAAATCTGCGTGAAGTCTTACCCAGGGTCCCGCGGGCATAGGCCAACACTGAGGTTCGCATTTCGAAGGATTTTTAGCGGCTTGAATACATGATGAACAGTTACGGCATTTATTTTCGATATCTTTGTCCATTGACGGCCAATAAGCATAGCTACGAGCCAAAGATTTCATTTTACTGATTCCAGGATGGCCACTGTGAAACTGCTTAAGAACCTTGTGACGTAATAACTTCGGAATAACAATGCGATCACCGAACATAATACAGGAGTCAACAACCATTAGAGAGTCCCGTCGACGAAAATATTGCAAAAGTTCTCCGTCGAGGCGATTGTTTGGCCATTTGGTCAAGAGATAGCATTTAACTGAGCTCAGTATCTTATCACTTTCAGTTATCTTCTTGATAGTTTCAAAGGTTACTGGGAGTCCATTAACTGCGTCATCCAACACGCGATGAATTTCTTCCTCGGCTTTTATATTTGCTACAAGAGTCTCCTCCGGGGTTTTCGATTGGGAGCCTGTTAATCTCGACAATGCGTCAGCTTGCCCGAAAGCGGCAGTAGACTGATACTCGATCTTGAAGTCGTAACCCAGAAGCGTGGTCGCTCATCGTTGTAGTCGGTTAGCTGTATGAACAGGAATTCCTTTCTTTGACCCAAAAACTGCAAGTAGTGGCTTATGGTCTGTTATTAGGGTAAAATGTCGACCATATATCATCTTGTGGAACTTTTTCACTGCAAAGATAATTGATAGGGCTTCTTTCTCGATTTGGCTATAGTTCCTTTCAGTCGTTGTCAAAGATCTGGCAGCGTGTGAGATAGCTTTTTCAGACCCATCAGGAAAAATGTGAGAGATAACTGCGCC